CTCCTGCAGGCACACCCAGCCCTGGGAGCCCCGCAGCCCCGCCCGGCCCAGGTGCCGCCCAGCCGCCCCTTCCTGCCCTCACCAGCCTCAAGCTGGTTCTGCCTTCACACTTCCTTCTCCTGGGTTTTTGCTCTTCAAGCTCTTTTTCAGGCACACCCAGCCCTGGGAGCCCCGCAGCCCCGCCCGGCCCAGGTTCTGCCCAGCCGCCCCTTCCTGCCCTCACCAGCCTCAAGCTGGTTCTGCCTTCACACTTCCTTCTCCTGGGTTTTTGCTCTTCTTCAAGCTCTTTTTTGTGTGTGTGTGAAGTTTTCGTTAAGGTCCCCTGGAGACATCTTCTCTAACGGAGGGTGGTGAGGAATGGGGCTTCGTAAGGATACATGGCCATCGGAACTTCCACGCAGGCCCGTGGCTCCAACACGGGCCATCGCTGCGGCTATATACACCCAGCTGCTTCTCGAGCCACCGTCCCTCTTCCAGTTCAGGTGGAGACAGGCAGGTCTGAATTTCAAACAAGACGCAGTAGAGGAACCAGCACCAAGACCCAAGGGGCAGCACAGCCATGGCTCTGCCGCCTGGAGAGCGGGCCAGCCACACCCAGGCATCAGGCTGTGCGGCCTGGCAGCTGGCGGTGAGGGGACTCCTCCCCGCGGGTCTGTGTGGGCAGAGCGTCAGGGCCAGCGGGGTGTCTTGGAGCCGCTCCTGTAGGGCTGGGAGGACAGGCCCTCGTGGATCCACTCCCCATGGCTTGTTCTTTAAAACCAAAGCCCAAAGCCCATTTCCTTTGTGCAAATTCCGCTCAGGTCAGGGGAAGGGAGAGATTCCACAGGAGGTTGCGTCGCACAGACAGGGAGGTGCCGCCCTGGGACCCCGAGCAGGCTCAGCCTCAGAATGTTCCTGGGGAGCCAGGTTCAGCGAGAGTCATTCTTCTTCTGGACTGGAAGCCCTGTCTGCTCAGGTCACGTCCCTTCACACCCTAGTCTAGTGTTTAGAGACAGGCTCAGCCTGGACAGCCCAGAATGCAGGGCTGTGAGGGTGAGTGTGTGTGAGTGTGAGAGAGTGTGTGTGAGCGCATGTGTGAGTGTGTGTGTGAGAGAGTATGTGTGAATGTGTGTGACTGTATATAAGTGTGTGAGTGACTGTATATGAGTGTGAGTGTGAGTGTGAATGTGTGTGAGAGTGTGTGTTTGTGTGTGTATGTGTGAGTGTGTGTGTGACTGTATATAAGTGTGTGAGTGACTGTATATAAGTGTGAGTGTGAGAGTATTAGTGTGTGTGTGTGTGTGAGTGTGTGATTGTATATAAGTGTGTGTGAGTGTATGAGTGTGAGAGTGTGAGTGTGAATGTGAGAGTGTGTGTTAGTGTGAGTGTGTGAGTATGTGTGAGTGTGTGTGACTGTATATAAGTGTGTGTGACTGAGTGACTATATGAGTGTGAGGGTGTGTGTGACTGCATATGAGTGTGTGAGTGTGAGAGAGTATGTGTGAGTGACTGTATATGAGTGTGTGTGAGTGACTGTACATGAGTGTGAGAGTGTGTGTTAGTGTGAGTGTGTGTGTGACTGTATATAAGTGTGTGTGTGAGTGACTATATATGAGGGTGAGGGTGAGGATGTGTGTGAATGTGTGGGTGAGTTACTATATATGAGTGTGTGTGTGTGAGTGGCTATATATGAGGGTGAGGGTGAGGATGTGTGTGAATGTGTGTGTGAGTTACTATATATGAGTGTGTGTGTGTGAGTGGCTATATATGAGGGTGAGGGTGAGGATGTGTGTGAATGTGTGTGTGTCAGTTACTATATATGAATGTGTGTGAGTGGCTATATATGAGGGTGAGGGTGAGGGTGAGGGTGTGTGTGAATGTGTGTGTGAGTTACTATATATGAGTGTGTGTGTGAGTGGCTATATATGAGGGTGAGGGTGAGGGTGAGGGTGTGTGTGAATGTGTGTGTGAGTACTATATATGAGTGTGTGAGTGGCTATATATGAGGTTGAGGGTGAGGGTGTGTGTGAATGTGTGTGTGAGTTACTATATATGAGTGTGTGTGTGAGTGGCTATATATGAGGGTGAGGGTGAGGGTGTGTGTGACTGTGTGTGTGAGTTACTATATATGAGTGTGTGTGTGAGTGGCTATATATGAGGGTGAGGGTGAGGGTGAGGGTGTGTGTGAATGTGTGTGTGAGTTACTATATATGAGTGTGTGTGTGTGAGTGACTATATATGAGGGTGAGGGTGAGGGTGTGTGTGAGTTACTATATATGAGTGTGTGTGAGTGGAGAGGGAGAGGCAGTCTGGGGAGACGGAGGCAGAGGTGGAAAGAGAGAGACAGGCCAGGAAACGGGGCGGTGGAGCCATGTGCGCAGCTCCCTCCTTGGCAGTCAGCCCCCGTCTTCCATTCTGGCTCCTGCATGTGCCTGGGTGCGGGCACAAGGGGTGAGGATGAAACATGGGTCCTGCTCCCACGGGAGGGAGAACCGGCGAGGAGGCCAGTGGAGAGTGCTGGGTGCTGCGTATAAGGACAATGCTGTCTTTTTCCTGTGCTCACGGGCTCTGGTCTTCAGGTGAAGTCCCTCCCTCCCTCCTTTCCTCCTTTAATGAGTGCACCTTACCTCCCACGGGCTTACCTCCACAGGCGGGTGGACAGAGAAGCCAGCCAGGCAGTCTCTGTCCTGGGAGGGAGCAGCCGGTTCCCTCAAATGCCCGGGTCCTCAGGTAGGGGTGCAGGGCTGCGGGTGAGGGAGAGCTCTTGGGGGTTGGGTTGTGAAGCTGAGTGTCGCAGGGTTTGTACAAATCCTGGGGCTGGGATGAGATCAGAAGTCGCCTGCAGGAGGGTGAGCAGCACAGGCAGCCATCTTCCTCCCAGAGCCCTGGGGCTGCAGGGGGCGGTGCTGGAGGGAGGCAGGGACTTGCTCCCAAGGTCTTAGCGGCCAGGGGTTTGGACCTTATCAGAGAGGGAACAGGAACCAGGAAAGCGGTTCAAAAGCAGGATTTTAGAAGCATGTCTTTAAAACCTTCTGTGAGTAATGAGGGATTTCATCCAGACCAACTCGGTCACTGGCTCCCTGTGTCCTGGAGAAGAATGTGCAATCCGGCGGAGTGTCTGGCTCATCACAAGGTGCGTTATGTGGGGGCACGGCCGGTTCATTCAGAGCCGGAGACCTGCCTTCCGGGGCAGCCCTAGTCCCGTGTGAGGGCTTGTGAGTTTAGACACTTACTTGAGGAAGAGCAGTAATGTGAGATCGACCCCTTAATATTCATGTGGGTCTGAGCTCACATTCTTCTAAGGAATCAGACGAGTATGTAGTTAACAGTGCAGGTGAGCATGCCACCCTCTGCAGGTGCAGTGAAGAGCCAACACCAGGTTTAGGGGGAAAGTGGAGTCATTGCTCTGAGAATAAACCATTCATGAAATAAAGATGAGAACTATGAGAACGGGAGAGGACATGAGGACCGAGGGGTGAGCATCCATCACTGGGCGGGACCTGGGGTTTGGTTGCTGCCTGGCTGCGCCCCCTGCAGATAGGAGCTGACTCAGGCCGGAGCCAACCTATTCTTGCCCGCTCCCCTCCAGGCCAGGCAGCCGGCCTCGGAGCAGCTGGGCCCCTCAGAGCAGGCCCTCGGGTGGCCAGGCTGACCCTGCCTGCATGCCCTCCTGCTCTCCATGAAGATTCCACCTGGGGCCTCCCTTTGGCTCTACCCCTTCGCGCCCCCACTCCTGATGCTTTTCCAACTCCATGAAGAGGTGCCTCTGCTGCACCTTCTCCAGCCTCACTGACGCCAGCCTCACAGCTGCCCGAGGCTCCAGGAGGGAAGGCGTCCAAGTGCCTCTGTCACCCTGTCCCCTGGGTTGGTCACTGGTGGCCCCGGGGCTACTCCCTTAAGGGCCCTGGTGATGGCAGGAGGGACACAGGGTCAATGAGTCCTGCGAGAGTCAGCATGCACCCCCTGTGCCAGGGAGAACGGCATGTTCTCCTGGGCTCTCCTCCATCCTCAGAACATCAAGGGGGCGTCTGACCTTGGGAGGTAGGGCTCAGGAGCGATCCAGCTGAACCGGGAGGCAACGCGGTGCCTGTGCTGGGCCGTGCTCAGGTGTGTCCTGGGGTGTGCCCTGGGCTGTCCTTCCGGGCTTTATAGACCCTGTGGAACAGGAAAAACCCGGAAAGAACACAGGAAAGAGGAGAAGGCAAGATTCAGCAGCTGAGGAGCCCCCCGGCCCCGCTCTGATCCCAGGGCCACCTGCTTGGCCAGTAGTTTCCCTTTTCTGGGAGCTGCAGGCTCTGCCAGGGGCGCCTGGCCTGTCCAGCTTCCTCCAAGCTTTGCTGGCTGCGAAGAGAAGGGGAGGTTGTATTACCAACCCCAAGAGCGTCTGAAGTTCTCCCTCCAGTTCTCCAGCTTCCGGGATCTCTGGTACCAGTTCGTGCCTTTCATAGATTCTGAAACGACAATAGTCTGTCGAGTCAATGTTTGCCAACGCAGCTGTGGCCTGACTGTGGCTAATGCAGACACAGGAGCCGCGCCAGGAGGTCCTCACAGCCAGCAGGAGGCTGGTGGTCAGTGGGGGCAAGGCTAGTCCAGAGGTTGGGCCCAGGCCCAGGACGGCGTCACGGAGCAGGGGCTGCTGGGGCACGCACGCCACTGTACTGGACGGCACAGCACCCGCCCGACTCCGCACCTCTTCATTCACCAGCTTCAAGCCTGCTGCCCTCGCTTGGGCCACGTCCCGCCCGGGGCTATAGGCTTGGGCCCTTTCAGCACACTCCTTCCGAAAGGAGGTGAAGCCTGGCCTCCCAGCCAGGGCGAGTTACCGCGGAGGGGCCCTGAAACATGGCAGTGAGCGAATACTATCAGAGATGCCCTCACATGCAAGAGTAACCACAGACACAGGAAACCCAGGAAACGTTACGGGGAGAACAGGATCAGCCATGCTGAAGGGACTTAAGAAGAGAAATTTTTACAAACTGTGGAAGGAGTTGGGGAAAGACAGTGTGTGCATCACAAGTAGTTGAGCAATGAAAAGGCTCACAGTCTCCAGCTGCTTCTGCTAAGAGTACCCCTGACATTTGCCACCCAAAGGTGCTCTCCACTCAGGATGGTCTCCCAACAGCAGCCGTGCGTTCGGCGGTGTGGGCTTCAGGTCACTGGTGTCTGTGTGCAAGTCATGAGCGAAGACAGCTGTAGAGAGTGTGGCTCTGCTCTCCCCGGGGGCTGGGAGCAGGGAGGGACGCAGAGCGGCCTGTGAAGGCTGTGAGTCCTCGCGGGGTCAGCACGGGGCTGTGCACTCGGCGAGAGGGTTCAGACCAGCCCCTTAGGGCTCCCACTGCCTGGTCCCTCCCCAACCGGCACTCCAGGGGCAGCCGCTGGCATGGCCCTTAGATCTGTGTGGTTTCTTCTTCTTTTTTCTTTGAAAACACAGTAAGGACTTTCACATTGTGTGGGGTTTCTGACACCTGTACCAGGCGGGCAGCAGACGGTTCTCCCCCTGCGTGGGGGCCAGTCTCACACAGCCTGAGCTCTTGGGATGCTCACCCCAGGCTGAGCTTGGCCTGCCCTTTGCTTGGAGTTTGACGTCAGCGAGGTGTGGGCAGCAGGCACGACCTTGCCTGGCACACGGCACAGGCGCTGCTGGAAAAGAGACTGCGGCTTCCAGCACCACATGGAGGCGTGGCGCCTCCACTGAACCAAGGAAGTCGATTGCATTGTCTGTTTCTAAGGAACTTCAAAGCAGTTTGATGTCCTTGGTTTATTCTCAACAAATAGCCAAGTTATTTGAAAGGAAGGTCACATGTTCTCTTTTCCTTTCTTTCCTAAGCAAACAAACAAACAGACCAATTTTCTTGATGCCACTCACCATAAGGAGAGACTCAGGGGTTAGGATCTCTCCATCTCCTCAGGCCTCAGGATACCAGGAAGGTCGGCTGACCCTGGGAAGTCCCTTTCTCTGCCATTCCCGCCCATCACCCCCATCCCCAGCCAGGCCCAGGCCCTTGAGCCTGCAGCACAGGGACACGCCCTCCGGGCATCCCTGGAGGTGGCTCTGGGAGAAGCAGCCTTCCGGGACAGGTGCTTCCTGCTCCAGGCGCTGCCTCTGTATCTCTGCCCTGTGTTTCTAGGGTGTGTCCTGCGGTGTGTCCTGCGGTGTGTCCTGGGGTGTGTCCTGGGGTGTGTCCTGGGATGTATCCCGGGGGTGTGTCCTGGGATGTATCCCGGGGGTGTGTCCTGGGGTGTGTCACGGGGGTGTGTCCCAGGGTGTCTCCAGGGTGTGTCCCTGGGGAGCTCATTTGCCTTCCAGAACCCCAGCTTCTTTTATGTAGTGGGGAGGGGGGGTGATTACGCATCTTTTGAGCATATGAGCATGGCATGCAAATGCATGGGCACATTGGGAGCTAAAGGGCTATTCCTTTGGCCCCATCAGAGAACACCCTCCTGTGTCTCCAGTCCTGCAAGCATCTTCCCCCAAGGTCACTGGGTGTGACGGCAGTGATCCTAACAAGTGGGAAGGGAGGCGCACTGCCCAGGCTGGCTTGTGGGTATTTGCTACTAGGGGCAGTGTCCTAGGGACGGGTCCCCAGCTCGCCAAGGGCTGGCCCTGTAGCCGAGGGAGGAGGGGAAATGGGCATGCTCACCACTGTCCACAGGCCCTAGAGGCCAGGGTCTGCAGCCTCCGAGAGCTGGAGAAAGCCAGCCATGGCTCCTGGTCGTATTCCCAGAAAGGGTCCTGGCCCTGAGCAATCTGCCTGGGGTCAGCCGGCCGGTAGCATGTGGGTTCTTGACTTCGTGCAGGAAAGATTTCACAACACGAGCCCAGGTGACTGTGAGGCAACGTTTATTAAAGCCGGGATGGAAAACAGAAAGGGTTTCGCGTAGAAGAAGCAACAGGAGCGCCCGGCTGGGCCGCCATAGCTCTCTGGGGAGTCAGAGAAAAGGGGGTCTTGGGGTCAGGTGGAGGGGACTAGCCTGGGAGGAGCTGCCACTGCCCATTGCTCCCCAGGTTGCAAGCCTCGTGGGGTCCCTTAGAGCAGGACTGCTTGGCTGTGGGGAAGGAGAGGGGGCGGCAATGGCGGCGGCTCCTGGGGGAGAGCGCTGGGTCCTTTGTCTTGGGGGTTATTTCTCTCGCAGGCGGGAATCAGAGGGGAGGCCTGGGGAGGGTTCCAGCAGAACAGTCACCAGTTTCCAGGTGGGCTCCTCCAGGGCCGTGGTGGCCACCGATGGGTCAGTGCCAGGGCAGGGGTGTCAGGCATCACAGCTGGTCCTGGTGCCGCCCACCTGGTTTTGCGGCTTTTCTGGGCCTGGAGCTGAAATACAGCCGAGGTGTCATCTGTGGGAGATGTTCTCTGCGGGAGGGGCCTGCTGGGACTGCTCTGCCGGGGGCTCAGCCAGGGCCTCAGCGCCCTGCCT